TTGTGTTTTCATCAAAAAAGTTTCTGCTGTAGTGGACAAAAAGTCAAATGATGTGAAACAGAGATTTAATGCACAGGTTCTTTGGAAGTCTAAACTCAAATAATGGACATTTTTCCTATTCAAAAAATAATACCATTCTAATAAATATATTAGATCCATACTTTTTGATACTTTTTTTAAAACAAATTTATTGAGGGAAGACTGACACAAAAAGTACTATATATTTTTAATGTATACAGTTTGATGCTTTCATGAGTTTGACTATATTAGGTTCTAAATATAAGTGAGATCATACATTATTTGTCTTATGTTTCTGGTTTATTTCACTTAGCATGATGTCCTCCTGGTCCATCCATGTTGTAAATAGCAGAAATCCCTTTTATAAAGGCTGAATAATATTCCATTATATGTATGTACTACATTTTCTTTATTCATCCATTGATGGACATTTGGGGTTGTTGTAATATCTATTGAGACTACTGCTGTAATTAACATGAAGTACAGCTGACTCTCTTTGAGATTGCTATAATCTCTGAGATTATAGGAATCAGTACTGGAAATACATATTTCCAAATTTCTGCATAATTTCATAGATGACTACAGACTCTTTCTCTTGCCTATATTTCAGTATTGATTTTTCAAAAACTTCCTTTATAGTGCTATCAGATAACTCTATAGTATTATTTTTTCCCTTGTTCTTCCCTTAGAATATACTTCCTCAAAGCAAGATTGTTATTAATGTTCGTAGCCCCAATTCCTAGCTAGTTCATTACTAGTCAAAAGTAAGCAGTTGGTAAACATTTGTTGGATGAATTAATGTAGTGAACACTTCTAGTTGTTCCAACCAGCTATTTCATTCCACCATATTTTTGCGCTCTTCCTTTTCTAGGTCTCATTATAATGTATAAATCTCAGTTTGAAATTTATTTCATTGTTATTACAGTTTTTAAATTCTGTGATCTGCCTATAAAAGTTCTTATACCTAACTGTTTTTATTTTGTTATATTTTTTAAATACTTCATTTTATTTGGGTATTTTTGCTGTTGAAAAGTCCAAAGACTGTCAAAAATTTTAATTTTTCAAAATGTTTAGTATGGTTTTTTTATACTTTATTTGTAAAGTGGATTGAAAATTGTATATAAAATGAAATTATTGTACATGCTTGAAACAAAGGAAGAGTAGGTTAGTTTCTGTACTGTCAAAATGTGAAAATAAGGGGACTTCTCCATAGGCACAATTGTAACTGACATAAAAATAACAACAGAGTAGTATGATGCCAAATGCTCTCCAAAGGAAGTGGGGTTGTAATTTATCAGCCCACCTACTTCTAGATGTCATCCAAATTAAGAGCAGTATTTGTCTCCTATAGCAAAACCATGTTTTTTGAAGAACATTTCCTTATTTTTAGAAATTTAGTGATTCTCACTACTCAACAATGCTTCTAATCATGTGCTAAATAGTTAAATTTTTCTCAGCCATCTCAGGACCTTACTTATTGATGTGTATTTTATTTTTACTTGTTTCAACATTTGGATTATATGTTTCCTTTGGGTGCAGTTGAAATCACTTGATATTAAACCATTTTTAAACCAATGGTGACATGTTGAAAAGAAGATTATGTGGGCAAGACATAATTATTATAATTAAGTGACAGAGAAATAATGTGGGCATGGAAAGCTGAAAATTAACACTGGAGTAGAGTAGGCAGGTTGTGGAGACAAAAGCACTTGTGCTTGAAAATCATACATTTAATCCCAGAATCTGCCCAGTCTAAATGCCAAAGGATTTTTGTTGGAGGAGAGAAGTAGTAAGGGAGATTGTTAAGGACATGCATTTCCTGGCTGCCAGTACTGTTTGCCTGAACAAACTGTTGACATCACAGGAGTCAGAAGCATTCTGTTTGTCACGGGCAGGTAATAATTATAACTTTTCCTTTTATTTTGAGGAAAAAGAATTGTTCATTTTCTAATTGCTGTGACCAGGCTTTCAGCTTAATTGAGAACTTTGTTGTTTTGTTTTTAATGCATTTTGCTATGATTTGCACTGGGACTAGAAAAATCAGGTTAAGGGAAAGGAGGGACAAGAAGCTCAGGGGGTCCACAAATGAGCACTGCCTCTGCAGCATTGTTTGGTGGGGAATAAACTAGCAAATATGATGAAAACCAAATACCTGTGGCTCATCAATGACAATGTGTGGAGTAAAACACATGGGACTTGGAATGAGATGAACTTGTCTTTTTATTTCTGACTTTACGCTATTACCTCTGTAATTTTAGCCTTCATGTCTCTGCCTTAATATGAGTGAAATGTCTTGCAGGTTTATTTGAGGATGAAATTGAAAACACATGTCAACTTTCTAGCACTAGGCCTGGGGTATATGTGTATATCACACAAATATCATTAGGCGTTGTTTTTCGTTTTTCCAGCTTGAGATAGAGGGGACCCTGCTGGTCAGGCCTATGTTATGTCCTCAGTTTCCAAAGTGGTCCAGGGTAAAGATGTGTGGGATCTTCTCAGAGAGACACTGATTTTGATCATCATGTGGCCTTTGTAAATCTTTTTCTGAATTTGATGCTTACTTTCTCATCAAATTTTTTGTATTACCATCAATATCACATATGAAAGGATAAACTCATCCATTCTGAATTAGAAAAAATGAATGAACTCAACTTTAGAATGTCAGGAGGCTTTAGTGGGTCTTTTGGCAATAGTACTTTTTATAAGGATGGAACAGAGGAATAGAGAGAAGTGTTTTTATTTATGAATTTAGCTTAAGATCATATACATTGGAATGTGTCTATAAATCCAAAAGCTCTGGGAATTCCTGAAATGTTTGGAAAAACTGAATTAATAAAGATTCCCTATTGTGTCCTACTCCTAAATATGCTATTGAAGGAGCTATTATAGGTACATCTGGTTTAATAAGACCCATTATCGAATTTTAATAGACAATTTTCATTCCCGTTTAGCGGTATACAATACTTCCTTTCATATGGTTTATCATATTGTTGAAACACAGCCTTATCCTTCTGTTACAAAAGATAGCCTATTAAATATCCTGTATTTACACTTGTATCCTATATCATTTAAGATGGTTGCTTTGCAAGCAAGCACCAAAATTCTCTGTGGTTATAAGAAATAGACTTTGGGAAGGGATAGTGATAGAGCTCACAGATCCTTTGGTCAGGCTGTGCAATCCTGTTTCTGGAAGGAGCGGGGGCAGGGAAGTGCTGGAAATCCCAGTGGATAAGTAGCTCAGGGACCTTCTGAGATGATTCAGCTCCAGTCGCTGTGAACTTCTGTATCCTTTATTCACATTTCCAGCTCTTGCCTGACCAACCTGCATGAATCAGGTGCTTTATGCCTGAGGCTCAGTAAATTTTGTCTACAAGATTCGTGGTCAGGCAGCTGTGGGAATATTTTGAATTGAGCAGCAGCTAGCTACTTGTCCCTACACATAATAGTTTTTTACTCGGTGGGCCTATTAAAGTACATTTGGTTTAGGGACGGATCATGTGACCTAGGTTATAGCGTTTTTATTTTTTTAACCTTGGAGTTTACATTTCCCATTTGAGTTTGAGACCATGCCTTGACTTGATTGTGTTTGTGTGTGGACACTTTTAAACTGATGTTACATAACACCTTAAGTTTTCAATGATAATTGCAATCATGCATTCTTTGAATTAATTTCAGCAATGTGACAGACTCCACGACACTGTTACACGAAACAAGGACAGTTTTGGAGTCATTCACAGATGCACTTGAGGCTAGACAGCGCCTGTGACTGAGGCTTTGGGCAGTTTACATAACTTGTTTGAGTCCTCGAAAGCCTTCATTGGTAAAATAAATTTGATATTGTATATTTTACAAAGCTTTATGGAGATTTTTTTTATACATAGTGTTTGATACCAGGTAGTTACATTGTTTTTTTATTTTAAATCGTTGCAAACATGATTCTACTTATTCTGGATTGCAGTTGCAATAATTGGCAGAAGTGAGGTCATGACAGAAAAATACTTAATTAGAAGAACAGTTGGAGTTAAGGCCCAAGGCATAGTTGATCTTTTAGTACCAGATATTCTTGAATTTTTCAGTTGAAAGAAATGATAGTCATAACTACCCAAAAACAAATTAACCTTCCACAAGTTTGTCTATCATTGAACTAAAAAAAAAAAAGCAGAGGTGTGGATAAAAGTTATCTATATTTTGCCTCAGAATCTCTTTTCCATATTTACACTTGAGTATATATGAGTTTTTTTTATACATTGGCATTTTTATAGACAGATTAATGGAATCTCATTTTAAGATATGACTGACCAGAATATTATTCTCTATTTTCTCTTTTCCGTAATTCTTCACATCTCCACACTCTAAAACTGGAACTAGAGTTGTTTTTAAGAGTATAATCAGGCAGTTGCAGCACAACAGCTTAAGAGGCCAAGCTTTGGAGGAGCAATGACCCAAATTTGTGTTTCCTTAAGCTATTGTGGGTTGGCAGGGCTGATTTGCAAGCATGTGTAATCCTGAGTCACCAATATAGAAAATGAAGAAAACAACAGTATCTGTTTAATGAGGATATTTTGAAAAAGAAATGGAATGATGCATTTAAAAATTAACCCTCAACATTTTAATTTTTAAATTTTCTGGTGAGAGTGTAATGGGTATAATTTCTTTTTTGCTGAAGTAACATTGTACTATTTCAGGTGTTCATCATTGGGAATCAACACGTGTATATTCGACATTAAGGTCACCATCAAAAGGTCAACTCTATCCTTCAGCACCATATCATTGTCCCCCTTTTTCTAATTACCCACTTTCTTCCCCTTTCTTTTCTGGTAGCCAGTGATTGGTCTTATAATCCAAAAATTTTGTATTATTGAGTTCATCTGTTTTCTCTGTATACCACATATGAGTGAAATCATAAGGTGTTTGTCATTTTCTGATTTATTTACTAATCATAATTCCTTTTAGGTCCACTCATGTTGTACAAATGGCAGAATTTCTTTTTAATAGCTGCATAGTATTCCATTGTATATATGTACCATATCTTAAATTTTTTTACTGAGGTATCATTGGTTTGTCAGTGTTGTGGAAGTATAGGATTGCCCCCATTAGGTGTAATCACTACAGTGTACCCACTACCAAAGCACTGTATTTCTCCAGCAGAGTCCATTGTGTGCTTTCCCCCTCCTGTTTTCCTCTCCCACCCCAAGTCTCAGTTCTATGGCCGTCTTTCAAGAGTTGGTTTGAAAGTTTGTTTTTGTCTTACCCTTTGTTTGGTTTCTCTATATTTTACATATAAGTACACCATCTGTACAGCACATCTTTATTCGTCAGTCAATGGACACTTAGGTGGCTTTCAATGGCTGGTTACTATATATAGTTCAATACATTTTAGTTCATATTATGGTTATAATTAGCATATTAAAGAAAATACATTATGCTTATTTTTAGATTCTTGAAAGGATCAGAAAACGAAGTTCTTGATTTTATCTTCCCTGGGACTAGGCAATTATTACCGTAGTTCTAGTTGTACTAAATATGTCTGTTATGGTACAAAAGCAATTTCATTAACAGTATTAGATAAAGCATAATAATAATTTAGTAGCAATATGTAAGGCTCAATCAATGTGCTGACTGGGATTTTTTAGCTGACACAGTTCTTAGTGTATGATTTTGAGTAAAACCGGGTTCATGCCAATACACAGCATCATTAGTCTTTATGTGCTATTTCTTAGCAATGGACCTAGTATTTGTGGCGTTGTCTCCAATTGTGGAGTGATAGTTTTTATTAATGATATTAAGGAAAAACCACACACTATTCTGGGTATGCAATTTGCATTATTTCATCTTACTACCTCAAAGTAGTTACTATTCTCCCAGTTTACAAATGAGAAAGTGAACTTTGAGCAGTGAGAAACTTAAGGCCACATGTCTAGGAAATGGCAGAGATGGATCTTGACTGACTCCAAAGTCCATTCACTATGGAAAGCAGCATCTTTGGCAAAGGTCAGTTGTGATACAGGCTTTGCAAAGCACTTTCATGGTAGCAACACGTTTCATGGTAGTAACACGACATCCCATTAGCAAGTTCACGAACACAGTGCAAAGATCTGTAAGGATAGAAGTTTAAGTTGAAACAAGCTAGAATGCTTATGTTCCACAGTATTAGTATTTTTTTTAATAGATAATACATTTTGATATTTTGCCCTTTGGAACTGAAACACCTGCTGCTTTCCAGATGGCAGAAAAAAATAAAGGAGCTAGCCATGGTGAAACTGCATTTTATTCTGAGAACTTTGACATTTGGTATTTTGAATACCTTAAATCTATATAACTTCAACACATTAGAATTAGTGAGGCAAAGTAAAAAATAAATTTTCCTGGAGAGACAACCTGTCTTTCTGTTACCGTTTTCCTTTACTGTTCTAATTGGAAGAACAAATGGAATAATAATGTTGGGCCTTAATAATAATGAATTCAATTCAGTTTTAGAAAGAATAATGAATCATTGGAATGTTTTTATCTCTCCTTACTATTCATTTATGCATATGCATTTCCTACATTTATCAAGTTTTGTACTGCCATTCAGATGTCTGAATGACATTTTAAAGTACAGTGACACATGCATTTTAGGATCCAATATAATTGCTGGCATTTTTTTCTTGCAGTGTCTGTCTTTACACTGAAAGTCCAGGTCAACGACATCATCAGCCGTCAGTACCTGAGTCAAGCAGTTGTAGAAGTGTTTGTAAACTACACGAAGACAAATTCCACGGTAACTAAAAACAATGGCGCAGTGTTGATAAGAGTACCCTATAAGTTAGGACTCAGCTTAACCATTATTGCTTACAAGGATGGCTACGTGTTGACACCTCTGCCTTGGAAGACTGGAAGAATGCCAAGTAAGCACTTAAATTGCTTTGTCTTACTAAATTTACATGATTTTCCTCTGCTTTGGGGCTTTCTTTTTCTGATAATTAAAAATGAAAATGCCTATTTGAAGCCAATAGAAGGAGGTTAGTTAGAAAGAGTGCTGCCAGTTTGAAGAAGACATGAAGTTAAGTTTTTCTTTGACAGAGGCTTGAGGCAATCCTGAGCAAGTTTTTCTCTGGTATACAACTTGTCTGCAGGTGGGTGAGGGGCTTCTGTGCTTGAAGAGTCAGAAGCAGAGTAGATGAGGCAAATAATTTAGATTATGTTCCATCTAATAAGGCAGTTATTAAAGATTCTTTAGCACAATAAATGTAGGCTGTTTAGAAACAATTTACTTATCAATGTACAATGAATATGCCAACAGCAGGGCTCAAATGGACTCAGGGAGACTCACTATGAAGCTGTGGTTGAAAAAGATGGGGTAATTAAGATATACTGAAGAATTGGTAATTATTGTGGTAATCATTTCACTATTTGTATACAAATTAACACAGTTTACATCTTAAACTTAAATGAGGTTCTATGTCAGTTATATCTCAGTAAAGCTGGGGGAGAAAGGGAACGGATAGGATTTAGTGTTACTACTTGGATATTGGGGAAGATGGGCCAATGGTATAAACCAGTATGTGTTCTTAAGTACCAGAAGTAATAAGTAATTAGGAAAAAGTGAAAAGAGAACTCTCTTAGGACAACAAAAACAAATTGTAGGGAAATTTTAAAAAAGTTAAACAACAGTGTGGGAGGAAATAAAACTACCAGATGCTACTGATACACCTAAAAAAATCCAAAGAAAATAAAACCTTGGATAACTGGTTTCTAACAAAAAGCATTATGCTTTTTGTTAGAAAGCCTGAATATAGTAAAGATTTCATTAAGTTTTTTTTTTTTTTTTTTTTTTTTGACAAACTTAACAGATGAATGTGTAAAAGTAGCTGGGAATCTTGTTTTAAAGAATATTTGCTACAGTTTGTTATTCCACATAGCTATTTTGTAGCTTCAATTGAAAACTGTGGTACTGTATATAATCTGTACTGTGGTACAAACCAGAGGCTGGTAGGTATATAAATGAAATCTGTGATAAGGCACCAACAGAAATAATTGAGAAAGACTAAACATTCATTAAATAGTATTGGGATATATATATTTTGAACTATTTGGAGTACATTAATTTGGATCCAGATTTCAAAACATTGTTCAAATGTGGAAAATCAAGTATGTAAAATCAAATATTAAATAAGAAAATAAATTCTCTGTTCTTTGAATTAAGACTTTTAAACTTAAAGGCACTAAAAGATGTCATACAAGGTAGATTTGAAGATGTTAAAAAGCAACTCGTATATCAAAACATAAATTAAGAGCAAATGAAGGTAGGAAAATACATTAAATAGGGGTGAACCTTAACATACAATACAAATTAGTGAGAAAGTCCTGCCTAAATAAGGTAAATAGACAAAGTAAGACCTACCAGTTTTCAAACTAGGAACCACAAATGACTAGTAAATAAGACAAAATGTTTTATTTAAAAGTTTGCACATCTAGGAAATTTTTAAAAAGTGAATTCATTTTGGACTAAGGGTGAGGTAAGATCAGTATCCTCAAACTATGTTGGAAGATCAAATCAGTGAAATTATCTTAATTTTGAAATGTCAGTCTCCATAACTTCTTACCCAGTATTTCCCCTGCTAGATCTGTCCTAAAAATAGACATACAAAAAGTGGACAGATATTTGTACCCCGGGATATTGATTCAAATATTTTGTAATACTAATGAATATAGAAACAACCTAAATATACAATATTAGTATAGTGGCTAAATAAATCTTTATACTTGAGGAGTGAACTATGTGAACTTGGATTATGTTATGAAGTGTTTCCATTGATGGATATAAAGTCACAGTATTAAGTGAAAAAAGCAGGTTAAAATATTGAGTATACAATATCATATTTGCTACTTAAAAATCATGGAAAAATCTAAGAGAGCTACTGAAATATGAGTGTTCTTACCTGTGGTGAGATTGTGATCATTTTCTCATCTTTCTGTATTTCTCAACTTTTCCACTTAAGTTAGAGACTTTTTTCAGTGAAAAGAAATCAGAGTGTAAGTTTTAGTGAAATTCAAAAGCTTCTCAAGTTTAATAGCCTTAAAAAGCTGTCAAGGCTAAATTTTAATTACCCAAATAAGGGATCGTGCCCTAATTATAGCCTTCTCAAGGTCCCGGCTACCAACTCCTCTAGTAAGTCCATTATACAGTCCAAATGTTAATACACTCAGAGTTGAAATTATACTTTTCAGTAGTTCTCTTTTCCTATTTAGGAAAAGTGTATTTTATTTTACATCCACCCATACATGAAATACTTGTATTTTGCCCTCCCTTTTTTTGTATTCCTTCACAGCTCTTTGAAATATCACAATATGCCCAAGCAAACATGTTTTATCCTCACAAATGATTTAGGGATCTGATGTCATTTCTATCTATTCTAAATATTACATCAGAGAGAGAGCTCAGATGAGGGGTATGAGCTCTGCAGACCTTTGCAGAATGGGTAAACTTATTCAATGTGTTCTTGCTTATAAAATGGATATTTTCCCAGTTTTTTACTCTTGATCTTGATGCAATTTATCCTTTAAGTGAGCTGCACTTACTCCCCCAGCAGTTGTTTCAGGGGCCTATCCTTGTAGGGAGGCCTAGTTTACTGTGTTACTTGTAAAAGTTGCCTATGGGCATTCTCTGTGTTAAACCTCTTCTTCTTCTGACAAGTCATAAGTCTGGTGGCCATACTGTATGAAAAGCATCGCATTCCTATATGGAAAGTTAAAGACGTGAATGTAGTCTATAAGTGAACCTTAAATTGTAGAGCCAAAAAAAATTTTTTTTAATTATAAGATGGAAATTATTAATTATATAGAGAAAATAAAGTGGTTTAATCATTTAGCTTGGTCATATGTATCTGAGGTAGGAGTACCTCAGTAGTTACCTTGGTACAAATTGTTACATGAAATAGAAAAAGATTAGTTAAATAATGATACCCAGCCTTTCTTTTCTCACTTAAATTGAGTGACCTTATTTTTTTCCCTTTTCATTGTATTTTAGATTCTTTGTTTTGCTTTCTCCATCACCCGGGTGGTTTTTTTTTTTTTTTTACCACTTCTTAGGACCTGCTGGAACAGAACTATATTTGTCTCAGTTTTTCTTTCCCCACATTTGATAAAATTTTCTAATTGTGCTGTATTTCACAGTATATTCATCAGTTACACTTTCACTGTTCCCGCAAAACCAAGCAAATATATGGCTGTTTGAAGACACTGTTTTAATTACTGGAAAATTAGCTGGTAAGTACATTCAAAGTGATTATTATATAATTCTACTTCTTTACTAATCATTCTGGAAAAATCTAAGTTGATCAGGGATGATTGTACTGAATATAAATTGACTTGAAATGATGATTCTTATTTTACTAGTGAGCTACAGTATATAGAATTTTGTGCAACAAGAATCATCATTTGCTGTTGCAGTCCTCCAAATGGCACATTTAACTTTTGGAGGTATTGGACAAAGTGTCTGAACTTTTCAATATCACACTCTCTCCCTTGAGCTTCAGTAGCTAGTGAGATTGGGAAAAGGACTGAACAGATCTCATTTGGACATGCTAATTCCTGCCTTTGGCACTAATCTTGCTGCCTGTGTGGGAAAGGGATGGAACTGAGTAGTTAAGTATTTGTTGAGCAAACATGACCTTTCCCACTTGCATGTCCCAAGGGGGAGAATACAAAAGACTGTTTTGAGCCTGTTTCAAGCTGTAACCTCCAGTTCTACTTTACCAATGAAGAGAACCTTGATCTTTACCTTGTCTCCTCACCTCTCAACTAGTCCTTAGAGGAAACCCGAGCACTTTGTGACTCTCATAGCACATTAGAGAAAAACTCTAAATGACAATTTCATTCTCCCTCATTGGGAAATTGATATTTAGTAGTAAAGCATAATAGGAATGACTGGTAAGGGCAGAAAAATCCTCACAATCTCCATTAAGAGTCAAAGTTAAAAGAATTGTGAGACTTTTCTTACAGAAAATATTGATTGCTTAAAATATTAAAAATGAAAACTGACACTTTGGAAAAAATTAAACTAGAGTTGGGCTTACTAATATTAATTTATTGAATGAGACAATATAGCTCTTGTTCTTGAAATGCTGAGACACTTAGCAGAATTTTGAGTCACTGAGTTTGCTGGTGCATGGCAGAATGAGTGGATGTGAAATGGTCTAGAGGATGAAAAAGAAATAGGAACTATATACATGCAGAGATCTACATTTTACGTTGTTGGGGCCTTAGTGAAATCAGGGTCTCCATAGTTCCTTTTGGTGATTGTTTTGTTTCGATACATTCATATTCCTTAATGGTCTCATCAAATTCCATTTACAAACTATAATTTGTGCTGGAATACACAAATGGATTCATGTGTACATGTCCATATGCCACCCCTCTTCTGGATAGTAGCATATGGTCAGTCTTATTAAATTCTTAGATCATTTCCTTTTACTTCCCCAAGAGTTGAGCCATTGGTAAAGGCTAAGCAGGGAAGGATGGATGTTTGAAGAAAATACATTTCTTAGAAAATACACATCCTCACTTCCATAAAATGCTAATTTTTCTTCCAAGATTTGATTGGGAAGATGTTCAGTTTGAACAATGAAAATGTATTAGTCCTGTGCAAAAATGTAACTGTGGGGAAAGAAACAGGAGAAATTGCCCATATTCAGGAATGTACAAAACTTTAGATAAGTTCAGCTGGATATTTTGCTTAGTGCATATGTTTTCAGTTGTAAGAAATTTGGGTCTTCAACATAATTATCCCACATAACACTAAGTTGTACATAATGCCTGTAAGTAATCAGAAGGTATCAGACTGTACCTTTAAACAATCAAGCAAGAATAATAAGTTATGTTTTTCTTTATATCCTTCAACTATTTTCCAGGGATGAGAATATTTCATTACTTATTTTCTTGTAACTTTAAAAACCTATACTTTCTTCATGATAGTTTTACATGGTGTTTCTCATGATTTTTTAGTTTAAATGCTTGAAGTTTTGACTGTTTTAATTCCAAAAGGGCAGGATTATTAGGAAAAGGAGAAAGGAAATAATAGGCACCTATCTAGTCATAGGCAGGCAGGAGAACCATGACTTTTGAGTTGTTAAAGGGAGGGTTCTTGTTTATTCAATTCTGAATTTAAACTAATATTTCTAAATATCACTACCAATTCAACTATAACTGCTAATTACAACTATGTCCTTTAAAGCAAAATGTCCTGATTAATGATGCTTTGCTTACATTTTTGTCCATTTGTTAATGAGGTTTCCTTTTTTCAGATGCCAAATCTCAACCAAGTGTTCAGTTTTCAAAAGCCTTAATCAAACTACCTGACAACCATCAGATTAGCAACGTAACAGGCTACCTTACTATTCTACAACAGTTTCTGAAAGTGGACAATTTTCTTTATACAACTGGAATTACTCTCAATAAATCAGGTATTACTGAATTTCTTTCTGAGAAGCAGTATATAAATCATCAAATGCTGTTCAGATAGTTGCTATTATTTTAAGCATTGGAGAATACGTTATTTTTACACAAAATCTGGTTAATTACCCAGTTGATAGAAGTATCTGAGTAGTAATGTTAGGCAAAAATGTTTATAGATTATAGTAAGCAATTGCAAATTTTCTTATATCTTTGCTATTGAGAAAATATATACTGAAAATGTATCTAGATTCAACAGCACTACTACATTTACATGAGGATATCATGACCCAAATGTTTAGAGAATGATAGGATTTTACCTTTAACACACCTAAGAATTATGTTCATAAAAACTCTATACTCTGTATCTCTGCCATTTCTACCACTGATTGCAACATCATTGTTTAAAATCCCTACAGACAATCTAACTTTGGGTTCTAATTTTAAATCTTTTGGGAAATAGCCAGAAATTAAAGTAATAAGGGGATGTAGGTGATTTGGTGAGATAGTATCAGCCACAGGCTTTTTAAAAGTCCTATCAGAGCCCCAGCCAGATGACCTGCACTCTTGTGCGGCAAGCCCGCGTTCCCTCCTGCACGCACCTGTGGCTAGCGCTCACTGACAGGTGAGCGTACATTAATTCTCCAGACTCCTCGAGGAGAACAACTCGAGTCAGATTGTGTCCCCAGTGGGACTGAGCTAGAGTTGCCATGGTGATAATCTGCTCATTAACACATCCTCTCTTCATTTCCTTCCTTCCCGGTCTGTACTTCTCTACTCCGGCAGCAGTAGGTGAGCAAGTGTTTCTTTCAGGGTCTGCTTCTTGAAGCTGCCAGTCTAAGACACTTGCTAAGATTTTCCAGATGTGAGTCAAAATAACATTCACAAGAATGTACCAGTGCCAACTGTTACAAAAATGAAGCTCACATGCACTGGAGTTTTGATGGACCAGATATATTAGGCACAGTGGTAAGGGGTCATAATAGGCTCTGCTTTCCAACATTCCCCTATCTCCTCTTTTTAAGATTGTTCTAGTAAATGTTGGCTGTTCTGCTGAGAATACTAATACTTTAAAAGTTCCAGGGCAGAGCCATCAAGTGGGGATGCCTTTTTATTATGCCCAAATGGTAGCCACTGGCATCATGTTGAGCTCTTGAAATATGGCTAGTTCACTGAGAAACTACATTGCTTATTTCATTTAAGTTACAGCATGCTGCAATTGGCTACTATATTGGATCGCACCATTCTAGACTTCTGTGAATGTGGAAGTATAAATGTTTCCTCCTCAGCTTTCAATCGGCCTTATCCCCATGTGTGGGTCTCATCAGTGAAGCCACTGACTACATAGAGATGGAAATAGGGTTAATCACTTTACAAAACAGTGTGATACAATAGATTACATAATACTGGTGCTAATACTGGATTATTTACCAGTGTTACTAGTGTTCCCTTGTTCATTTTATGGTAGTGTTCAGGAAGTTTACAAAGGCTAAATCTCTCATAGTTGCCTAATAACTGAAGACATACATCAGATATGATCGCAGTGAGGATGTGTCCTTTCCTTGGTCTGCAAAACCTAAACTACTTTCACCTCGCTCTACCCTCCAATTCCATGACCATGCCAAGGTCACTTCTGATTTGGGGGCTTTCAGCTTGATTCTTCTGCCTGGAAAGCTCCTCCCTGAGATCTTTGCATGGCTGGCACCTCATTTGGCCATAGCTCAGACAGCCTTCCTGACCACCCAATTACATTGCCTTGTAGGTTTCTTTTAAAGCACTGATACAGACTGAATACAAGGGGAGAAAAGAACCTTTGTAATAAGGATTGTGAAAAATACATTGCAGCCAATTTGAGAGATCACATACTCACTGTTTTTACTGTCCAGATTACTGTGTGGTACCAGTAGGGATTATGTAATTATCTGTTAAATAAATGAACAAATGATTAATCAGTATATTTTAAAATTATCAAATTATTCAACATCTATAACCATATTTTATTCATTTAAAATAGTCATCTAAAATATTTTTGTATATATTATACAATCAAAAAGTTTTTCTTTTTATTGAGGTAACATTGGCATATACAACATTGTATATGACTTAGGGGAAGAAGTCCATACTTTGTCAGATGTATGTTAGCATTCCACTCCTACCATCCTCTGAGAGTCTCAATTTTACAGTCCAATTTTTAGGGTTTACCTTGATTTAATTTTGTCAGTTCCTTTGCTGATTTTTTCCCCCTCCATATTCCACTTGAGTGAAATCTCCTGATTTATCTCACTTAGCATAACCCCCTCTAGTTCCCACAAATGGAAGCGTTCATCTTTTTTTTTTTATAGTGGAGTAGTTATAAATCAAATCTTTAAAACCTTAGGCGAAATGGCATAGCTAATTCTTCCATGAACTTTCACCCAACTTTCTAAACTTTTAGATATAAGTAGTATATAATAACTGAAGTCTGTTTATATTATTTATTCTATCTTATATTCTTTCTAAAATTAATCAAATATATAGCAAGTCATGTTACTTTAATCATCTAGTAAGTGATTAAAAAGGATTTTGAATTAGAATGCTTTTTTTTTACATTACATTAAGAAATACAACTGGGTCTGGTTGGGAGGATGTGAAATGGTAGAATTTTTACTTGGTATGATACCAATCAGATTTTTTTTTGGTTTTGTAATTTTTTTAAAATAGCATTCAAATGAATCCCAGCGATCTTTAATCAGATAACTCAAAATTAGGTCACGTAGGCTCATATGAATATAACAATGTTACATGATATATAGCCTATATGTATTTGCTATATCTTCAAAATCCTTAATGAGGATCAAGTATCTATTTGATATTAAAATAACCCTGGGTGAAAGAGATATTTAAACCCAAAATAATAATTTATTATGTAACTACAACTTATATTTAATGTATGGTGTTCATACATAAACCTTTTTTTTAAGGTTTTGAAAGCACTGAATTGATCCCTCTGGCTGCAATATGTGTAAAAATATATTCTGGAGGAAAAGAATTAAAGGTAGATGGCTCTATTCAAGTTTCTCTCCCCCTTCTACATACAAATGATATAAGTGCAGGGGACCACATACCTGCCTGGACATTTGATATGGACATGGGTAAGTGAACTAGGTGAAAATATTCTGAATTCTTTTGAATATTTGAGAAATGTTTAAAATGTATGCATTTTTCAAGATATAAGGTTTCTATATTTTAAGAGAGTGTTAAAATGTAACTGATATGTAATACTACAATTTTAAGCACTTTGTCAGTGCCCAGCATTGGTCCCATTTAGATTCACACAACTGGAGAAAATGATGCCAATTTAACATTAAAAATTAGCATTATTGGGCCTCCCAGGTGGCGCAGCGGTTGAGCGCTGGGTTGCGAAGCTGCCTGCAGCCTCTGCAACGCCGGTTCGAACCCTGGCTGCTCCCCGGCCACCGAGGAGGGTCTCACATGGCGTGCAGACCTCTCCTGCCGCCCGCTGCTCCCCTCAGCAGTGTACTTCGGTCCTTCTGCCTGCTCTGCTTCCTGCTCTGGCTCTGGTGAATTCTCTCACCCTCCCGCGCTTCTGACTGTACCCAGTGCATGTATAAAACAAACAAACAAACAAACAAATAAACATGCCTCTATTAAAAAAAAAAAAATTAGCATTATTTAGTCATGTTCCTATGCCTATTCTAGATCCCCTAACATTAAGTAGAAATAAAATGTATTCCTGCTGTTATGGGGTTTGTTTTGATAGGGAATATGAACTTAAAGTACTTATATAAGTCTTGAGTGGGACAGGTTACAGAGCCTAAGTAACATAACAGGATTTGATTTCTCTCCCTGTTGAGACCTCTCCGGGCAAGAAAGCTGCAGGTATGCTAACTTTATACTTGTCCAGTTAAAATTTATATACATTGTCCAGGTATAAAGTCTAAGGGAAAGACATTCTTATCTAACAACTATTGCACAAACTCTTGCACTCAGTGTAGAATGGAGTTTGATACCATCTCAGAACTAACCTTTGTGGCCTGTGAGTGGATTGCAGAGATTTATTTAGGCATTGATGACAAGTTTGAGCCCCCAACTAATCATATGGACAGAGAATAGGGGGCAGTATATCCTTAAAGGAGATTTGGAATGAGATTTCACTGTAACAGGAAGCCAAAAATCCCAACCCAATGCTTACTATGGAAGGTAAGCACTTTTTAAGAAAGAGTGGAAATTAAAAGTGGTAACTGTAAGAGAATTCTCAACATTCTATTTTATGCTCAATATTTCATTGCCAGTCACCAAATGCTAGGGGCATTTTCCCCATACTAAGCAGTTCTGACACCAGCTAGCTAGGTATCCTACAAGTCAATTCAGACATTATCTTCCTGAAATGTCAGATCTGCAGTTAAAGGCTTAGTACCACAGATTACCCCTTGTCCTTAAAAGTCTGTCACCTGTGCTTCTGAATGACTATAAATTGAAGGTTCCCATGATCACCTCCTGGAGTTGGATAATTTGCTAGGACAGTATTATACAAGGATGCAAGTCAGGAACAGCCAATGGAAGTGGTACATAAGCCAAGGTATGGGCTGGATGCATCCGTGCCCTCACCTCTGGCTTTCATTCTCCCAGGACCTCCACATGTTCACCAGTTATATCCTCTGAACTATGTAGGATATAACACCAGTTATATCCTCTGAATTCTATTGAGTTTCATGGTGTAGGTATGAGTGATTAAATCATTGACTTGGTGATTAAACTTAATCTCTTGTTCCTTTATGGAGGTGCTGAGAGTTCAGACCCACTAATCACTTGGTTGGTTTCCCTGGCAACCTGCCTCTTCTCCTTAGGGACTTTCCAAAAATCAGGTGATTAGCAAACTCAGGTGTAGTTGAAAATAGATGTATTACCTTTATAGATGCATACCGCCAAGGGGTTAAAAATGATATATACATATATGCCTATATATACACATCTATACTATATAAAAATACAGACTCACACTAGCATACTAATCCGGACCTAAGTTTCCTAATTTCTTGAGTTATAAAGCTATCTGCACTGAGTCCTGATTGTCACAATTTAAAGAACAGTAGGTTGACTTATTCCCATTAAGTTCCTCTACCTTATTCAAAACATTGTTTTATACACACTTATAAATAGCTTTGTTATGCTGAACTTCAAAAAACTTTTCTCTATGAATGGGATTTTGTTGGATTAGGTAGCATTTTTATTTATTTATTCATTCATTCATTCATTCAAGCACTGGGTATAGTCAGAAGCGCGGAAGGGTGAGAGAATTCACCAGAGCGGGGAGCAGAGCAGGCAAAAGGACCGAAGTACACTGCTGAGGGGAGCAGCGGGCGGCAGGAGAGGTCTGCGCGCCATGTGAGACCCTCCTCCGGTGGCCGGGGAGCGAACCGGCGCTGCAGAGGTTGCAGGCAGTTTCGCAACCCAGCGTTCAACCACTGCGCCACCGGGGAGGCCCTCGGTAGCATTTTTAAAAAGTTTAGTTCTATGTCGTAATATCCTATAACTATTTAATCAAATCCAAGAACATGTGACAAACACTTATTGAATTTCAACACTCAATATGTGCAATTTCAGCATTATTTGAAGAGTCTTGATTTCCCTAAATAAGCCTATATCCTTAGTTTATGATAATGCAACAGTTTTAATACTGTTTGAAAGTCATTAAATACTTTGTAGAACTAAAAATGATACTGTTAGTAAATTATCAACTCTAAAGATACATAAGCTATAATTAACTGAGTGCATTTTCACTTACCTTTCTTTTTAGGTGTCTGGGTAAATCGTGGTCGGGGAATCGTCAAAGACCATAACGGTCATTTAATGTGGACCTATGATGCTCCACATTTGGGCTACTGGATAGCAGCTCCAATTCCAGGAACTAGAGGTATTGTAAAAATGAAACAAATTCAAACAGTCATAGCTGAGTGATATTAACAATCTATATTTTAACCATTGCCACTTACCTGCTCTTACACTGGAAAAACTTCTAGTCTCTTGAACTCAGCTTTACTCCTTTTCATGAGAAAAAATTATTCTATGAACTCTAGTTTCTTTCACCTATGCTGGCTTATGAATATGTGACATTAAAGTTGAATCAAATAGTTTTTTAATGTACTTCATGTTTTCATGAATAAATCCTGCACAGATCATTTAGAGCTTTTAGCTGAATGCTAAATTTTGGGGCATTGTTAAAAAATGTATTAGGATGCAGGGGGTCACAGAATCCCAGGGAAGACTGAAGAATCATTCTGTAAGGCAGGACTCCCAGACGATCGAGTTAGCAGGCCCACTTGATTGTATTTGCAAGGTTCTGCTGCATGATGGCAACCCTTGACAGTTTTTTTTCCACACTGTTCCAGATCATTGCAGGGATGAAGAATTTGGTCCACTCAACCCTGCATCATGTATGCTGGCTTATGAATATGTGACATTAAAGTTGAATCAAATAGTTTTTTAATGTACTTCATGTTTTCATGAATAAATCCTGCACAGATCATTTAGAGCTTTTAGCTGAATGCTAAATTTTGGGGCATTGTTAAAAAATGTATTAGGATGCAGGGGGTCACAGAATCCCAGGGAAGACTGAAGAATCATTCTGTAAGGCAGGACTCCCAGACGATCGAGTTAGCAGGCCCACTTGATTGTATTTGCAAGGTTCTGCTGCATGATGGCAACCCTTGACAGTTTTTTTTCCACACTGTTCCAGATCATTGCAGGGATGAAGAATTTGGTCCACTCAACCCTGCATCATGATATGTTCCCAAGAAAAGACAGGTGAAACCCAAATGAAAAGTAGCCCAAATCCCCAATTTTTCTACTAGTGATGATGTATTGATATTCTAGGAAAAATTAGTACTTCCTTTTCCCCAGATTTACATGGTACCAGATTATCTATATAATTTATACTTAAGGAAATCCTGTGATCATCTGAGTTCTTAAGTGTTAAAATAGCCAAACATACAATGCCTATTGTATCCATTAAATCTCCTTAGAACAAAGAAAGCACCTCACCTGCTGTAGTCTGGACTGGTTGTGATAGTAGGTCCCTGGTGCCTTCTGACCTTTGGGGTGTTCACTGGAATAAATGGAGTCGTGTCTTCACTTTCCCTGCTGCCAGCTTTGCTAAGTCAATATTGTAGCCTTCGAAATCTTGTTTCTTATTTCATCCTCCTTTATCCTGTGGGATTTGTATGTTTACAGAAACAAAACGAGTAAAACCTTTTTCAGTGAAGTTTTGGAAGAATGTTTAAGTTGAAGAAATGTCCTTCTTTCATCTTTAATCATGTGTCAAACAATTCTTTTTGGTTTATCAAGTGTTTTTGCTCCCAACTGAGGGGTCACTATGACCTGGTTATTCTGGTCAGGAGTGGTTCCAGTGCACACCCTGACCGAAGATGGATGACATTTTACATGCATTTCTTTGCAGCATTCTATCAACTCATCTTATTATAAATGTCTTTTAATAACTTGAAGGCCCTCAGTTTTTTCTTTAAAAGCTTTTAAAGAATTTTTTATTTTTTTATTTTTTATTTTTTTTTAAATTTAGCTATTTTTTCCTTTTTTTAAAAAAAATTAATTTATACAAGCACTGGATACAGTCAGAAGCGCGGGAGGATGAGAGAATTCATCAGAGCCAGAGCGGGGAGCAGAGCAGGCAGAAGGACCGAAGTACATTGCTGAGGGGAGCAGCGGGTGGCAGGAGAGGTCTGCGCGCCATGTGGGACCCTCCTCTGGTGGCCAGGGAGCAGCCCGGGATCGAACCTTCGCTGCAGAGGCTGCGGGCAGCTTCTCAACCCAGCGCTCAACCGCTGTGCCACCGGGGAGCCCCAACATTGGAGTTTTTAAACCATGCCAAGAGAAGCCTTTTCAGTGAATTCAAAATTTAGAATTCCCATAGAAAAAGAAATATGAGCCATTAATGAGATATGACCAAATGGAATGTTTTCTATTTGAACTTAGCACTTAGAAGATTATTTATTCAGCAACCTGAGGGTTATACTTTTGTTCTTCCTGATGCAAGATATCATGCAGTCTTGCCAGCTGTCTGGCCTTATCTTATTCGAGATTTGCAACTCCAATGAAATATTGATGAAAAAGAAGAATTAATATTTAATGTACTTCAGCCCAATGTGATCCAAGTTATTTCATTTCTAACCAAAAATAACCTAAGGAGAACATACTTGAGTTTTATAGAGAAGTATACTTTTATTCAGGAATAAGATATTTTTATGATTATAAAAGCTGGAAGTTTTGTTTCGACTTTTATATCAAAAGATTTTGTGTGAATTAGCTATCTTTTAGTGATCCTTTTGAAAAACAGCACATTCTACAATTATGTCAAAGGGATACTGTACTAGAAATATAGATAACACGACTGTAGCTCTGACTTTGATAGTAACTAACTGGGTGAGCTTGAAAGAGGTACTTACCAATCTGAGTATTAATTTTTGTTTTTAATTGCAAGAGTTGGACATAAGGATCCCTAATGTCCCTAAACATTCTTACAGTGAGTTAAGTTACTGTAAAGTCAAAACTGGCCCTAATAGGAGCTAGTTAGTGTCTTACACTGAGTGGCTGACAATTTTTAAATATGCATTTTCAAATATTTGAACAAAATATAAGTTTTAACCTTTCTAATCCTTCTAGGCATGCACAAATACATGCAGATCAATACTTCTTGCTAATGTCATATGTACAGGGCAAACCCAACAGCATTGGCCTATTTTTTCTCATTTAAAAACCATTTTTATTTGTATTAAATATAGATGATAGAGATTTAAAGGTTAAATAGATTCTCAGGGCCCAAATAAAAATAGTTTGTCTACTCAACATCCCAAATACAATTCCTGCTCCCAGAAGTATAACCATTGTCAATACTATTTGGCTGAATCTGCTAGTGTTCGTATCCTAATCTATAAATAACATGCTTTGCTACTTTTAAAACATTAGTTTAGGTATTATTGACTATTGATATTTAATATAGAAATATAAAGCTGTAATAGCTTTTATAGCCCCCTAAAATACTTTATTCAAATTTTTGGTTAAATCAAAGTTTATATTTTTATTAAGATAATTACATTTTCTTTTGTTCTAAATTTGTCTTTCCTGGAGTTAGTAATTACATTCTTCATAATTTTCTGTGAACTTTTGCTATTTATTTCACCCTATAATCCTTTTCCAGCACTGGCCTATTTTAAACATGAGTTTTATCGGTATCCAGTGGAGTGGATTGTTTGCATTTTTCTATTGTAGAAATATATTCATACATTAAGAGAAGTGGAATTTCACCCAGTTATGCTCAAACTTTACTTTGTTGCAGATCTGATTATGAATCTAGAGATTCTGTTCAACTTGACAGCCTCAATCTGTTTTCTCATCACCCTGAATACTTATTAGAATCTAGTTGATACATATATAAGTCTCCTGGTCAGTAATTTTGAACACAATGAAGTCTTAGTATTTTTGAAACAGATCATTCAAGATTAGTTGCCCAATAGCATTCATTTTGTGTGGAATCCTAGGGCATTTTTGGGCAGTAAAACCTATCACAACAACACACACACACTTGTAAAGGATGACAGTGAGTCGACTATACCTGTGCTGGGCATGCTTTTTGGGATCCAGTTACATTAGTGTCTTCTTATGTTAGGGTCCAGGCTGAAGAAGTTTCAATTTTTAATCCTTCAAATCCTAGAATTTTTTGTTTCTTTCTAGTGCTTTTATCCCTGTATACTTTTAAGTCAAATGCAGCTAGTAACATTCAACACCCTACCAATATTCTATCTCAAAACCTCTGTACAAATTTCAAATTTGAACTTTTTCCCACCAAATATTTTGCTACTCCGTAACTCTACTCGCCATTTTTACTGCCCCCTAAAATAATTTTCTCACTACCTGAAACCAGTGTTACAAATTTTAGGTGGTGGTTGTAGCAGCATTGTGTCAATTTCTGTATCAGTAAGCTATTACTGTAGTAACAAACCAACCTGCTATCATAGCAACAAAAAGAGCAAACACCTATTTGCTATTTACATTACTGTTGGGCTTGGCAAGTCAAAATTCAGTTCAACGATTTTTCTTATTCCATAATTTAGACTGGAGGAGTAGCAACTCTCAGAGATATACTATTTACATATCAGGAGGTCTCAGCAAGAGGGCAGTGCCATATCATGCATCTCATTTAGGCGCTCACATTTCACTGGGCAGGGCAAGCCAGTTAATTGGGTAGGTAAATGCCTCCATTAAAAAAGGGAGGTTCTGGGCCTCTCTGGTGGCACAAGGGGTTAAGACGCAACCTATGAAGCTATCCGCAGCTACTGCAGCATGAGTTCGATCCTGGCCAGCCAGGGAGCAGCAACCCACATCACGCAGCAGACCTCTCCTGGCTTGCTCGCTGCTCCCCTCAGCAGTGTAATTTGGTCAATCTGCCTGTTCTGCTCCCCACTCTGTCTCTGGTGAATCCTCTGGCCTGTACCCCCCAGCTCTTGTATGCATAAATAAATCTTTTTTTTAAAAAAAGGAGGTTCCATATTCCCTGTCCCACCTAATAAGTGTGTGTGGGGGTCCTGTCATCTGCCCACTAACAAGCTCACAAGACCTGATATGGGAGGAGAACAAACAAGAGAGTGAGTGTGTGTGTGTGTGTTTATGTTTGGTCTGCCTCACTCATGGTATGAACATTGAGAATTTGATCTAAAATAATTTCTGTTTATATGAACCATTTAGGTTCAGGTATAATTGGAGATTCAAAGGACATAACTGCCTACCACACAGTGTTTCTCACAGCCATACTAGGAGGAACAACAGTCATTGTCATTGGATTTTTTACTGTACTACTTTGTTACTGCAGGTAAGAATATAATGCTTGTGTATAAACACAGAATACTACATATTACGGAATCATGTCAGTAGTTTTGTGTAGTACAAAGTTTAATTACAGAAATCAGTTCACCTTTAAAATATGTAAATTCAAATAATGATAGATATGTTCTAACAGTAACATTGTATGGGATGGTTTTTAAAAAATGAACCCTCTTGATCATAAGCTTTAATCTTTTCTTTCTTTTGGCTTCTCTTTTACTTAAGGGATAAGTGTGGTACTCCACAGAAAAGAGAAAGGAATATCACCAAACTTGAGGTTCTCAAAAGAGATCAAACAACTTCAACAACACACATAAATCACATTAGTTCAGTCAAAGTTGCATTAAAAGCTGAAGAAAAGTCACAGTTATTCAATGCCAAAAGCTCCTCATACAGCCCTCAAAAAAAGGAACCATCAAAGGCAGAAGCAGAAGAAAGAGTTTCCATGGTAAAAACTCGGGACAATTTCAAAATCTACAATGAAGATGTTTCGTTTCTGTCAGTCAATCAAAATAATTACTCAAGAAACGCAACCCAGTCTTTGGAGTCCAATGGAGGGGCCAAACATATTAGCAATACTCTATCTTCATCTCTAGGTGATGCCCAAGAGGAAAAGAGGTACCTCACAGGTAATGAAGAGATCTATGGGCGTTCCCACATTCCTGAACAACTTATGCATATCTACAGCCAGCCCATTGCCATCCTTCAAACATCTGACCTGTTTCCTACTCCAGAGCAGTTACATACTGCTAAGTCAGCTACTTTGCCAAGAAAGGGACAGTTAGTCTATGGTCAGTTGATGGAAACAGTAAACAGAGACACCTTCACACAGACATTGCCCAAAATGCCAATGCATTCTCATACACAGCCCCCTGATGCCAGGGAAGAAAATATCCCACTTGAAGGTCAACAAAGCTTGCCATCCCAAACTACTGCAGATTGGAGCCGGTATTCAAACAGTTTACTAGAATCTGTCTCTGTTCCTGGAACACTAAATGAAGCTGTTGTCATGACCCCCTTTTCATCAGAGCTTCAAGGAATTTCTGAGCAGACCCTTCTAGAACTGTCCAAAGGAAAGCCCTCCCCTCATCCCAGAGCCTGGTTTGTGTCTCTTGATGGGAAACCAGTTGCACAAGTGAGGCATTCCTTCATAGACCTGAAAAGGGGCAAGAGAACCCAGAGTAATGACACTAGTCTAGATTCTGGGGTCGACATGAATGAGCATCACTCTAGCAGGAAACTCGAGAGGGAGAAAACTTTCATCAAAAGTATGCATCAGCCGAAGATCCTTTACTTGGAAGATTTAGACCTGAGCAGCAGTGAGAGTGGAACCACCGTATGCTCTCCTGAGGACCCAGCCTTAAGGCACATCCTTGATGGAGGGAGTGGAGCTATTTTGGAGCACCCTGGGGAAGAGTCCCCAGGAAGAAAAAGCACTATTGAAGATTTTGAAGCCAATATATCCCCCACTAAGAAAAGGAGCAGACCACCACTAGCCAAAAGAGACAGCAAGACTAACATCTGGAAGAAGCGAGAGGAACGCCCACTGATTCCCATAAATTAACTTTAAGTGTGGTTGTTGCTGCTGTGTTGTGCTGTTTATTCTTGCTTCTTGTAAATTGCAGTATGAACTTCCAAAGAAGTTGAGACTGAGCAAATCTCATGGTCCCTGGACATGTCTCGAGCAGAGTAAATAGTAAAATGGTAGTTCAGTAATGAGAGACAAGGCTATAAGAAAAGCTTTTTTTCTGGCCTATTTTCATTATTTTTAGATGATGAATTTGAAGTATCCAAGAGTTCAAAATGTTATGTAGCTCCAAGCCGTTAGTTATCTGAAAATGTTGCTCAGCCAGCCAATTTACCCCTGATTCTTTTGAGAACAGTGAAGTGTATTGCTAAAGTTGCTTCCAAAAATGTTGCCTCTCTTTTGACAAATACCCCTGTAAAACATCTAGAAATGAAACTGTTCTTCAGGCATTATACTCTTGTGATTTAAATGTTATGTTCTTCCCAGCCAGACTTGAAAATAACTTGGTAACTGTTTTGTACTGATGTTTTTAGAGTTCAAAAGCCAAACAAGTTTTTTTCTTTTTGCAATAAACAGTATATGTACCTGTATATTCCCAAATTAAACCCCATGCTCTTAGGGAAATGTCAGTTGTTTCTGCATGTAACCTCACAGAATAAATAAGGTATTAATTTGTTACTTAGAAATCTCAGGAGTGAATGTTCTGATACTGAATTTTTATGTATTCTCTACATAAAAGTACAGTCAATGAAAAAATTTTTTTTAAAAGAACCCACATCTTGAGCTTCAAACTCACTAATAAATATTGGCTAAAATCAGTTTTAAGACATTTCGTCTATCAAAAAAAATCAACTACTAAAAATCAATTTTAACTTGATTTAAATATAAATGAACTCAACTAAAAGTTTCTAGTGTACACCCCAAAACTAAAATATATGATGATAAAGAAAAGAGACATTTAAGTTTTTTTCTAAATGTCAAGAGCAGAAAAGAAATGCTATTTCACTGGGATTCAATAATATCCAGAAGCAATTTTTTTCTGTTGACATTCTTAGAAGATGTTTAAGGGAAATTTCAGTTTTAAAGGAAAAGTAAGTTTTTTCTTAAATCATTTATAGCCTTTGTAACCTTCTGCCTCCCCCCACCCCCAGATTAGGAAGTAATATATCCACATTCTCTTTCTAATCTCACAATTTGTGTCTTGAGCTCTGAATTATCACTCATATGTCCTAAAAATAAATGTTCTTAATTAAAATCCATCCATTTTTTCTTAAAAATTTCATGAAGGCAAATGTCTGAAGTAGCTTCCACTTTCCTTTAAGGGAAAAATGAAGTTAACCTGCTTTATTTCTCATCCCCTATTATTCAACATGGGAGCAACATAGAGATCCAAGTCATGTAAAACCAAAATTAGCCACATTAGCTTTAGTCAAATTATAGGAGGTAATGAAACAACAGTTCTAGTCCCAAGATAGTAGACTTCAGCCAGTTTTTCCCTGTAAACACTTCTGAAACATCTAACCCATCAGTTAACACTCCTACCTTTCTATATTAACCCAAAGAACTTAATCTAGGGCAAAATTTTGCTATTTTACTCCAATCCACACAAGAAGAGAAATGTTTGGGGTAATACATAAATCTACTGTTTTGGGGGGTAGTATTAAGCCCAAAATTAGAGACTGCTTTTTGGACTTTACAGAAAGATGAATTAAAATTGGCATAAATGAAAGTGAGTTGGAAAAGGTTAAGGAGTCAGTACTCTGCTGAAGTGCCTTTGATACAGACTTGCTTTATTAGAAGGACATGATAACATCTTTCTTAAATGTGTGTTTTCTTTCTGTAAAATTAAACAGATGTGCAGTTTTTATTAAATTATTAAAATATACAGACCTAGTGTTTCACGTTGGAACAATGAATTTTGCATGCAAGTAGCATTTATCTTTTGTGGTTTAATTCTTTTTAAAATCTAGTTTATACTGATACATTGTTTATGTTGGAATGAAGTTAGAAACTATATAGTAAAATACTGAACTTCAATATTAAGTGTCTATTTTTCCCACCTTTAAATAAAAATGTTTCATCTCTCTGATTGGTAATTTGGTAATGGAATTCATGCATTGTTGGTAGTGGACCACCTTGGTGTGCCACATATTCATTCTTGTGTAAAGGAAATGAGAAGATGTATCCCCAGGGCTTTTCTAGAAAAATTTTGATTTCAGATAAAACCTTATTTTTTTATACACTGCACATTCTGTTCACAATTGGGAAGTATAGGCAGTTTATCTTTTCTAAACAAAAATGTGTAACTCTCATTTGTGAGTGGTTCACAAAATTCCTGTTAAAAAACCTGAAGCCATCTACTTTTTCTTATCCCAAGCAAAAATAAACCTACACACATTCAAAACTTTCTTAAATTTTTTAAAATTGAAAACCAACACAGTTTTTTGCAAATGTAAACCTAGAGAATTTTGGTCACAAGTTGTTAACATTTGTGGATCCTTTGTATATACTTTGGATATCTTGAAAGCAAAATTATCCCTCAATTAACTGATGGATTCATTTACTAAAGCACAGTTATATGTATTTTTGAATACATATTATGATCTTGAGACTTTATAAAATTCATTTTTATGACATTTATGCAGTTGTATAGGGATTATGCCCTTTTATAATAAACAGTATACCACGAAGGTCACAAATGTTGAGGAATAAAAGCACTTCTTTGCTTTGGCAATCATTTCAGATCACTTTCTGTGTTTGAATCCTCTGGTATTAATACATATTATAGAACTTTAGGGATCAGTGGCTCAAATAGTGTCCCTCAAAATTTTCTAGAAAGGTGAAACAAAGTTACATTCAATTATAGGATGAGTTACTCCTTTCCCCGTTACTAGGATTGTGAAGTTTTGACTATTAATTTCCATCTCAGACCTAGAGTTAACATTTTGCCCTCTTGTTTCCAAGTGTTTCTATCTTTTGTATTCTTCCATCAGAGGAATTTCACATTTCCGTGTATTGCCATTACCATTACTATATTTACTGCTGAAAACTGTAACAATTTGGAAAATTTGTAAAATGTTAAATATAAACCATTAAAGATAATAAAACATCTCTAAAGCTGTATTTGCTGCATTGCTTAATTTGGAATAAACTATAAAAGAGTGATTACATCTAGCAAATATTCAACTATTATTTTCCCTGCTTACACTGACTATAATAAAACCTTTTGAAGACTGTTTAATGAACTTGATTTCTTTGTATTTCATGTTCTCTAAAGTACACATTTTTACCATTAAAGGTATAGACAAATTATTTTTCATTGGATAATGAAAAGATGTGTAGATAATTTAGAAGAACAACATAAATTGCAATGTCCAAAATACCTATATGAGAAAAATGGGAGCTATCCCCTCCTCCACTTAAAAATTTGAATATTAAATGATACAAAGGCTATTTATATTCCAGATTGTTACCCTTCAAGAGTGCTTCTACTAAGTTAGCTGAACATATTTAAGTGCAGACAGTTTGTATTTGGGGGTTTTTGAATATCAAAATCACTACCCCAGCTGCCATGGTTTTAGATATTTTATATAATATGTAAATATAGAGTACTAGAAATACCACTGGCCACGTCTAGTTGGAATTGGAATATGAATTTACTCACAAAGCAGAGATTATTATCCCTATCACTGGTATTGAAACACACTTCTATTTGGTTCCCTGCTGAGTACAATTAGGCAGTGGCTCCCTTTGATTCAGGTCCTGGTCTCCATCTAGCAGAGTCTAGTGTCTTGATAGAAATGGTGCAAACTCTAGAGAAGTCATGCAGACCCAGACCCACATGCAACTAGTGGCAGTGAAAAATAGACTATAAATCATCAGAAACACCTGCTGCTCATCCCAGCCTCATTTTGGAGGGAAATCAAAACTAGAAGACTTAAATGTAAGAAACTACAGGAGAGGTAGTTGGAGTTAGGAGATAGTCTGGTCAGTTTACCAAGAATAATTCACTTATTAATACTTGATAATTGTGACAGCCAATCAGGGAAACTTTCCTTGAGTTACATGCTAGAAAATATTAAAATAGTGAATACCATAGTAGTGATTCATCTTTTGGCCTTTTAATTGGTACATTTATCATAATACATCGTGAAACAATAAGCATTAAATCATTACAGTGTTAGTATTTGGGAAGTATGCCCTGTTGTCTTAGATTTGTTTGCTTCATCAAATTAAATATGTCCTTGACTTGTGTTCTTTCTCTTCTTTTTATTTGGTGCCTTTATTTTGTGATTGTGGATTTCTATTTACTAAGTTAATGAATTTTTTCTTTATAAAAAATAGTGCCAAAAATCGTTTAGCCAAAAATTATCTAGAAATCAGTTTTGCCTGGTAATGTTAAATGTCAAAAAGTCAAAAGCTTGAAAAACATTTTCATTAAATACATATGGAAAGTTTCTTAGGGGAAAGTCATAACTATTTTTTTCTAAAATAGCTAATCTTAGAGATCAGTTTAAAATTATCTATGTGGTTTGTCAAAACATTGCAATAACACTTTTCTCCACTTTGTTATAGTAGATGAAGATCTTGCAGTTTCTGTTAGGAAAGTTCACATGTTGAAAAACATTTTTTTTTCCCTTACAGTGACAAACCTTTCTTAGTTGAACTCTATTTCATGGTTTTTAAAACTACATGCTATGGTTGTAAAAAAAATATTCTACCGTCCTCTAGGGACACCCCAATTTCCCATATGATTTGGTCATTTTTTTCTTCAGGTTGACTAGAAGTTTCATAATTTATATGTTGACTGGTTCTAATCCTTGTAGGCCTTATTAAAACACCAGACAAACTGCCGACAGTGTGATTCAAAACAAACCATGTAATTACATTCCCAGGAGTCTCTGGGCTTATTACACTTGGACAATTTAGTTGAAAACATTCCCTAAATATGATATTAAAAAGCATAATTGTTGCCATTAAGCCATGAGGAATAGATACATCAAAATAATTTTAACTTTATATACCCCCATATATCACTCTGAAAATAGATTTCTAGGTTTTAAATACACTTTTTAAAGCAAATTTATTAAACTTAAACTTATTACTATATCTAACATTCTATAATAGTGTTGTTTTGAAACCATGATTTCTCATTTTATAACTTCTAAAAGATCTGTTTATTAATTGTAGAAATGTGTAATTATTGATATACTTTTATAGATATCTCATTTTTTTCATTTACTGTTTATTACTGAGTGTTTGGTAACTGGGTGACTAGGGGAAGGCATGAGAGTAGATCTGTCATTTTCTGCTAGCTATTCCGGTTTATAAGGACCAGCGGAAGATGTAGGCATTCTCCTGTGCACCTTTGACTCAATCTTGGATTAGGTATTAGGTAATGGGAGATGTTAGATCTGATGAAGGCAATGAAGATTTGGGGAATTCCAGGCAGTTTGAAACTGCAGGTGAAGGTGGGATGTAGGGTGAAAAAAATATTTTCACTGGTGTCATTAATTAGATAATATATAATATAGAAAATAATACAAATATATAAAAATAGCCATTTTATAAATAAACTGATATATATGCATTCAAGTTGACAGAAAAAGATAGTAAATTCAGTGTCTCCTTTAAATTTCATAAATATGATTCTCCCACTTTACATCTCAAGTTGGGTATAAATTCAATTTTTGCCAATAAAAATTTAAATGCAGGGTAATCATTTTATGTTAATTTATTCCCTCAGTAAATTTGATTTTTTCTATATTGTATTTTCACAGTGTAGATATTCAATAAATTTTTTATAATAAATTTTATTTTTATATTCCCCATACAATTGCAACCCCCCATTCTGACCCCAATCCCTCCCCTCCCGCCCCCACCCCCAAAAAGTGTCTCTGGTTCATAGTTTTTTGTTGATTTTGATTTTCACTTTCTTATAGTTATTCATTTTCCTGGTCCCTTATTTAAGTTTTCTAGATTCCTGCTATGAGTGAGACCATCCGGTATTTTTCTTTTTCTTTTTGGCTTATTTCACTGAGCATGATCCCTTCCAGTGCCATCCATGTTGCTGCAAATTGCATGTGTTTATCTTTTTTGAATGCTGAGTAATATTCCATGGTATATATGTACCACATCTTCTTGATCCAGTCATCTATTTTTGGGCATTTGGGCTGTTTCCAAAGCTTAGCTATTGTAAACAGTGCTGCTATAAACATAGGTGTGCAGGTGCTCTTTGGAAGTGATATTCAATAAATTTTTTACAAATAGGAGCAAAATCCAGTATGATTTCAAATTATGGCTCCTGTAAACTGCAATTTCCTCATATGCTTTAAGGATATGAGTGACAGTGCTCACAATAGAAATAATACATCCTTACACGGCTGATAAGAGACTTAAACAAGGTGGTATAGAAAAAAGCATAGGTAGACCAGGCAAATTCTATTGTTCTATGCTACTATCACTGATTAATTTCAAATTAAATTACAAGGGGTAACTCATGAGTCAAACTTATCAACCAATGGTATTATTTCCAATAAAAACTGATTTTTATCACTGCAAACTAACCCCTATATCACTGATAGTCAATATATCAAAGTGTAGCCCCCAAATGCCAGAGTTTTCATTACAAACCCCATTTGCTATGCTTTTTCATGAGGACCACTAATTACCAGGGAAAGAAGAGACCACTACAGATATTGGGGAACGTCACAAGATTAGGATAGTTCTGCTTAACTGCTCTCATAAAGCACTTGCCTACCATAATTCATATTAACTCATAATTCAATAACAGCTCAGTCCTTTAAAATGATTTAGGAATAATCATTAAATACCAATGAAGGAGAGGGTTTTTATAGGCCTACTATCTAGTAATTTATGAATCAAAGGAAAATTGGTTATTTTGAAACATCCCCTACCTTAGTTTTTCCTAAAATTTTGTGAATCTAAACTTATATAATTTTGAAGTTATTATATAATTTCCTTCAGAAAATAATTGTTTCAAGAAATGTTTTGTTCTCATCACTGATATTTTGAATACGTCAACCTTAATATCTGGAGCCCTATTTTAAATGTTGTCAGGTTAGAGAATACTACATACACAGAACAGCAAGCTATAAAACCCACAAAGTCTTGCTTTCTTCACTGTTTCCTTCTCCAGGGAAATGGAGGGGGGCGGATTATCTGAGGTCATAGAGGGCAGTGGTGCTCAGAGAAGAGTAGTGGACATGGTTTTCCCCATGAAGAAACCTTGTCTGTCCAATTTTTCTGTTGTTTTGTTTTCAAATAAACCTCGTCTATGAACTTACTACCAATTACCTTTTTGAAGTTGCAAATATATTCTAAAACTTACAGGAAGATGGACCAAAACACTGAGTAGGGTCTTTCCTGTTGTCCTGAAGAGTTAAGTCCACAGAACAACAAAAGCACACATTTTAAACAATAGAACCCACCGTTGTCAGGCCAAACATTTCTGAAGTTTTCTGAGAGTTGTTCTTTGAGCAGAACTTTTACTAACTCTTCTATCCTCCACCCTTCACCTCACAATGGGAGAGGATGAGGAACACAGGAAGAGAATGTTTATGAGGAGAGTATGTTTATGAATGGATCTATCCCCTCACTTTATCTCCTGTAGTGAAAGAAACACTTTGCTGGTGGCAGTCTCCCAGAAGCATGGGTGGGGAGAACAAGAGAATCACTGGTGAAGTTTGCAATAAGGAGACACAGACCTCTCTTTCCATGACTCAATTACCAGCATATGCTAGTGCAAGTGGGAGAAAAACCACTGGGGGGAATCATAGTGATGCCACCAAGACTGGTTCAAATTTAGCACACATATCTAAGGACTGCCTATGATCTGCTCCTGATAGCAGGGAACCATGTGGGTATACTACACTGTGCTTTTTCTCTAACCTTCTCCAAGTCTCCACTATCTAGGAGTTTGTGCACACATCTGGCTCCCCAGGAATGGGCCCCTGGATGGCCTGGCTCTGATAGACAAAGAACATCCATATGACAACAGTAAACAAAGAACAGATTAGTGGTTACCAGAGGTGGGGGGAAGTGAACAAAATGGGTGAAAGTGGTTAATAGGTGCAAATAACTACTTATAAGTCATGGGGATAATACATATTATGATGACTAAATAATTCTGCATTATACATTTAAAGCTTGCTAATAGAGAAGATCTTAAAAATCTTTGGAACTATGTGTGGTGATAGATGTTAACTAGACTTACTGTGGTGTCATTTAAAATT